GTACTTTTTTTTTTTTTGTATGTTTTCATCTTTAATTTTATGTGTTTTTTTTTTTTTTTGTTTAAGATTTAGTTTATTTAGTTTATGTGTAAAGTGGTTTCTATATAGTTTGCTCGCCGTTCAAAAATTGAAAAAATGATGATATGGATGGGGGGATGGGAGTATGATAGGGGGTGATTGGGGTGTTCTGGGTGGGGGTGTTTCCAAGGGGATGTCCAGCGGATGGTTTTAATTATAAACTACTATCACACAGGCAAACCATACGCTGGATGGACGATAAAGGGGGGATGTAGTGAAAGGGGGGGTTATATAGGTTATTTTGGGGTATAGTGTTTTTTTTTTTGATGGGGTGACGAGGGCGGCAAAATGAAATACACAACAACAAAATTATAAAATTAATCAAAGTAAATAAGCGGGAATCGTTGATATTCCCATATATGTATATGTATATATGGGTAGTAAACAAAATCATTCGGAAATCATTTCAAAGATGCCAAAATAAAATCCAATAAACTTTCTACACAACGCCAAGTTTATCGATTCATTAATTTTTCTTTTATAGTTAAGTATGGTTATGGTTTATAGATTATTGTTTTTTTTTTTTAATTTTTACTTTTTTCCCTTCTTATTAGAGTTAGTGTTAGTGGGTGGTTAGGATATAGTTTGATGTTGCATGTGGTTGGTAGTGGTGGTAGTGTATGGGTGTGTGTTTTAGTGTGGGGTGTGTGAGTGTGTGTCTTTGCAATAAATATAACGGTAACTAAATATATGTTGTAGCTCAGTCTCCAGTTGATTACCGTATATAATCTATTACAAATCGAAACAATAAAAAAATATATGTATAGTTTATATATATATATGAATAATATTAAATAAGGACTATCAAATATATATATATAAGTATATATATTTAAAATGCTTGAAATGTACAAAAACAAACAAACAAAGCTCAGTGTGGTTCGCGGGGGCAAAGAGAAATCTTTGAACTAGTTTCGCTTTTTTTTTCCCTCTTTTTTTTTCATCTCATTCTGTCTCGTTTCGTTTGCTCTCCTTTCCTTAACCTTCCTATCCTCTTATTTCTTTTTTATTTTTTTATCGTTTTTCGTTTCGTTCCAATGCATTGTCTACATCATTACATCATTTTGATGAATGCTTGATGCTGTGTGGTTGCTATTGTACATTTACATTACGAATAGTAGTAGGGTTTTCATATCGAATTTTACATTAAGAATCTTGTGTGTGTTTGTGTGTTCTAGGGGGGGAGGGGGGCGGTTGTGTATTCAAAACTTTTAGGGTCTCCTCTTCTTCCCCTCGGTTGTTGGGTGTTTGCTTTTCATTTTTAGTTAAATGCTTAATCGTTTTGTTTTTTTTTTTTTGGGTTTCATTTTGTAAGATTTTTTATGATTTTTTTTAAGAGTGTGTTTGTGTGTGTGTGTAAACTTTTTAGTACATTTTTCTTACGGCTGACACAATAGGTTTTTGTTTTTCTTCCATTTCATTTTTTTTTTGGATCTTAAATGCTAAAAATATATAGTAAATGTTGAAAGTTGTATTTCATGTTTTCGCTTTTTTCAAAAAATTGTTATATTCAGTTTCGGTTTTAGTTTAGTTTTAGTTTTAGTCGCTTTTTGCTGCGTTTTGTTGGATTTTCATTTTAGCTTGTTCTTGTTGTTGTTTTGTAGTTTTTTAGTTTTATGGGAATCGCTTGCGTTGCGTTTTTCAAGCGTTCCTCTGTTTCATTCCTTGCGTTCTGCAGTTGATTTTTCAAATTTGAGTGGCTTTTTGTGTCGTTTTTCAGGTTGAGTTGGATTTACGTTTCCTAAGATCTTTTTACTGCCTGTCTTCCTGACTAATATTCTTGCTTCTTGTTTTCGTTTTCCGGCTGCTCTGGATTCTGGCTGATTTTGCGTCCAAATTTTTTTTCTTTTCGAAACTAAAAAAATAATGAACCCCCAATTTGTATCGATTAAATTTTTGTGCTGTTTTATCTTCACTAGGATTGCCTTAAATCCTCTTATTATCGGTTTAGTTTTTTACGTACGTTCTTTTCACTTGCGATTTTCATTATACAATATATATATATATATATTCTCATTTTCACTGTGTGAGTGGCGGCTTGGCTTTTTGGGCTATTTGCTCTGCTTTCTTCTCTGCGTGGCTAACGGTTCTCTGGCTGTTCTTCTGCTTTCTGCTTTCTGCTTTCTATGTTTGCTGTTATCTGTTTTCTGCTCCTGGCTGTTCGGCTGTCAAGCTGGACTTATGGTTAAACTCGCTTTTTATCGTTATCCCTATCGTTAAACCTTATCTTCGCTTTAATAGAATGTCTCATTTAATCAACTCGCTTTCTCTCTATCTCTTTCCCTCTGTCTCTGCTGCTGCTGTCTCTTTCTAACTTCTACGCGCCTAACAATTGAAGAAAAAAAAAAACAATTCCATCCTTCTTGTTTCTTTTTTTGTTTTTGTTTTTGTATATGCCTAAAGAAAACTCCATCCGATAGGTAAAAATTCCCCTCCTCATAATAGACAAAAAAAAAAAAGTATATATCGTTTAAAAAATAATAAAACTTGATTTGTACTCATGTTTGTACCGCTAAAAACGTTTTTCCCTTCCTCTCGATTAGTTTCTCCTTTGTAAATATTTATATATATGTACATATATAAAAAAATATTCCTTTTTAAAAAAGTTCTCTTCCCTTAGTCCGCGTTTCATAACATTTTTGTGTTTATGCTTGTAAAGAGTTTATCGTTTCTTTTTTGCTTTGTTCATCGACATCGATTGGCTCTTTGTCCTTTCATTTTCAAATCGTTTTTTTACTGCATTTGTTTTTTTTTTAAAGAGTACAAACTTGTGTTTTTTGTTGTTGTTGTTGTTGTTGTTTTAATGTTAAATTATATTTAGAAATCAAAGTTAAACTAAACCTTCAGAATTTCGGTAGCAAAGCAAATTGTTGATTCTTTTTCTTTTAACTGATGTTTTCTAGGGTTTTTACTTCCTGTCTTTTCCTTTTTTATTTCTCAAAGATATAATCGGCTGTCAAAGTACTTTTGTGGGTTGGTGTTTGTGTGTGTGTGTGAGTGTGTGTATTGGTTCTTGCGCGTGTCTGTGTGTTTGTGTATAAAATGTACATCAAAAGCATTTCATTTTCGTAGATGTTCTTGTTGTTGTTTTTAAATAATAAGTGTTTTTTTTTTAATAAATTTTAATTTTTTTTTGTTTTGTTTTAGTAAGTAGTTTTTATAGTTTAAATAGTTGTTAAATTTAAAAACGAGTTTATCACACCTTAAACGTTATCAGTACTTGGCACAACTTACAACACAAAAAAGTACTTTTCTCATTATTATTTTTCTCTTTTCCCCACTTTTTTTTTCTCCTTCTCTCACCTCAACGGGACCTTTCAAGTTTACATTTTCGGGTTGGAAAAAAACTGCACAAAATCATAGGCATGGATGGTGGGCTTGGAAAAGTGTTTTTGAAAGTTTAGAAACTGGAAAATTGTTAGTAGTAAAATGCAAAACGTTAGCAACCTTGTTAGTTGATTGTACTCAAAAAGAAAATGCTTTGTACATTTGGTGGCGACTGTACTTTTTGGGATTTTTGAGAAATGCTGCCTACATCCATGCCAGAGTTAGTTCTGGTTTTTCGAGTTTGAACTTTCTGTTTTTTTTTTTTTTGTACAGCTTTTCCGATTTCCGATTTCCCATTGGGCGGGCTTCAAATTGAACTTGCTCTGCCATTCATTTTCCGCTTTTCCACTTTTAGTTCTCTGGTTGTTCTCCCCTAATCTTGCTCTCATCCTAACCGTTGCCTCACTCTCCTACCTGCTTTAATAACGATATAAAATAGCCTCTAAATACTAAAAAATAATTTCGTTTCTGCTTTTCACACTGCTCACAATCGCTTTCCACTCTCTTTCGTTCTTTGCTCTCTCTCTCTTTATCTCTCTCTCTCTCTCTTTTCGTTTTTCAACTGAGTTTTCATCATTATCAATTATCTTTATCCTTATCTTTGTTTTCGTTTTTAACGCGCACGCTAACTCACAAGTTGTTTTATTTTTCAGTTGTTTTTCATCGATCTTTTTCCTCAATTATTATATTATGTATATTTTTTAACGTGTTTATTTAAAAAAAAACCCCCCGTCAAAATAAACCAGAGCTATAGCTAAATTATTAACTCGTCCCTTACAATCGATCTGACTTTTCTTTGATTCAGCATTTGGAATAATAATTTTCATTTCTTTGTTCTTTCTTTCTTCCTTTTTTTTTGGAATCTTTTAGAAAAATTCCGCTCGTTCTTTCTTTATAAATATCGTCTTTAAGCATAGTTCCACATGTCTATATATAGATATATATGTATATGTATTATAGGTCTTTAATAATGACAACTTTGGACATTTTTCAATGGAAAAAATATTAAAAAAAATGATATTAGAATAATTATTCGTTATAAACAAGTGGCAAAATTTATTAGATTTAAATACATATATATATATATATATATATGTATGTATAAAGATATATACATATATATATATATATATATATAGATTCTTAAGTATAACAAAACAAAATGTCACGCATTTCTCAACATACACATATATATCGCATATATATATACATATATAGCGGCTTGATTCTTGGATATAAAAAATCAATGCCAATGCCCAGCAACATTCTTATATACACTTCCCTCCTAAACGCTCTCTCTCTCTCTCTCTCTCTCTTCCTTCCTGCTCCTATATCTCAGTTAACCCTCGATTATGGATTGATCTGCTACATCATCAGGTTGGTATTATGGTACATAACATACATATAGTAGTATAGTATATATGGTCTGGGTGGTGGGGAGGAGTTCGACCCAAAACTATTTCGCGTAGGGCTTCTTTTTGGTGGGTGAGTGATTGTTTGCTGTGTGCTTTTTTCGATTTCGATATCGATTGGTTTTGGTTTTTTGGTTTTTTGGCTCACAGAAACTTATCGAAAAGGATCCATTGGCCTTTGGGTTTTGTCTTTGTTTTTTTTAGAAGGTTCTTTTAGGTTTTTCTTAGTGATTTAGTGACCTGGTGATATGCCTTCTCCAATGTTTGTTTCTGATTCTGTTTCTGTTTCTGATTCTGATTCTGGTTTTCTGTTTAGATTCGTTTTTTTTTTCATTAATAGTTCTTGTTAATTGTTTGCTTAAAATCTACATTTAAATTTTAGGGCTTGTGTTTTTCATTCCTTTTTTCTTTCTCATTCTTAAGGATGTTTTAGCTTTTTATATCCATTTTAACGCTTCGCAAGTCTGTTTTTAGTTTTGTTATTTGATTTCTTTTTTTTTTTTTTTGTTTGTTTTCATTTTGTAGAAGATAATGCACTTACATTGAGGTATTTTAATTACTTTTTCAATCTTCTTCAAATTTCATCATCTTTTCTGCTTCTGCTTCTGTTTCAGTTTCTACTTCTGCTTTGATTTCGTTTGTTTCTTCTTCGAAAAGGACAAAGAAAGTGTGAATGATATTTCGAAAAAACTGGTCTGTCCTAAAGCTTGTACACGCTTCTTGCTTGCTTTGAGTTTTTTGTCCAAACAATTTTGTTCAAATGTTATTTTCATCCAAAATAATGTGCCGCTCAAAAGTTTCATTTCCTTTAACTTCTTCTCATTTTGTTGTTTGACCGAAATGTTGTAATTTTTTTTTTTTTTTTATAATATTTGCTGTTTACTTTGCCGAAATGTTGAATTTGCTTAGGTTTTCTCATGTGTGGTGTCTTGGAACTGTCTGCCTCCGAAGCAAGTGTTATACAAACAAAAGGGTTGTGGTGGATCGCAGGGGTTTGGGTCTTGGATTTTGGTCCAACTATCTCGTAACATTAACTCTATGGAATCTATATCAATTAGTTAAATATTTACGTTACAAAAAAAAAAAAGGTTAGTTAATAGTTAATAGATAATAGTTTAAAAAAAAACAACACAAAATTGGGCTATTGCTATATTGTTGGTTGCTTGTTTTTTTCTTTTTTTTTGGCTGGTGTGTAGTTAGATATAGTAGATTGTAGTTTGATTGTTTGTTGCTCCGATTCAGTTACTTGGATTGCGGCCTCTAGCTATGGTGTTTGGTCATATGGTTTATGGCTATCATATATATATATTCTATATATTGTCTGCTTTACTCTACTACTTTTATCATCTCTACGAAATGCATTCTTCGGTTTGTTATATTTTGATTGCTTTGTGGCTATGAATTAGAGTTTGATTTGGATTCGGTTGGATTGGCTTGGGTTTATGTTCGTTTTCATGTGTGTGTTTTTTTGGGGATGTGTATATATGTAGTGCAGTGTCCCATCCATGTATAACAGCTTGTCTCTCATACACGCTCAAACGTTATAACGTAACACTTAACGTTAACGATCGATTAAAAAAAATTAACATTTCAGCACCGTTATTTCATTTCTAGTTAGGTTTTTAGTTTTTTTAGGTTTTAAGTTTTTAAGTTTTTATAGGTTTTGTTTTCATTTCAAGGCAAACACATTACAATAGTTTCTTTAACACTATCTCTCGCTCTTGCATTTGCTGTAGCGTTCCCTATACTCTCTTCTCTTCTCTCCTCTACTTTCATTCTTCTTGTTTATCATCATCTATTTGTTTCCTCTCCTTCTTCGCACCTACTAAGTATAATTCAACAATTCTTGTACAACTCTTCATTTTCGTTTGCAAAAAAAATGACTGGCTTCCGAGTTCCGTATTTCCATCCTTTCATCCGTACAAACAACTTTTCAGGCATCGAAAAAAACTATTTTACAACTGTACAGTACAGTAAAGCATATCTGCACATAACGCTCTCGCTGCGCTCTCGTTGCATCCACATCCCTTCCTATCTATCTAATCAATAGAGTCCCAATTTACACACTCTGATCCATCCGTATAGCTCTCTCTCTTAACGATATTTGTATACATATAGATAAGTTGTTGTAGTTTCTTTTTGGTGGTTTTTGGGTTTTGAAATCTGTTATACTACGTATAACATACGTCAGGGGGCGCCAACAGTTGCATCAACTGTTATACATGTTTTTATAACCCGGAAATGTATGCTTGTTGGAAACTTTCTTCATCATTTGTTGTTCTTGTTGTTGTTTTGGATGTTTTTGTTGTTGTTGTTGTAGTTGTTTTGGGCTCAAAATTGTTATATTTTTGTGTTCTCTGACAATGACGCGTTTTGAGTTTTCTGATTTTCCTTGTCTGTATTTTTGTTTTTCTCTTTTTTGATATTTCTTGGTTACAATTTGTTGTTGTTATTTTTGGGTTCAAACATATGTTTGTCCTTCTCTTGATTCTCAATCTCATTCTCTTGCGCTTTGCTCACTTCTTCTTCTCATTCTCATTCTCCTTCTTCTATTTATCTTTTCACTTAAATATAGGCTTACTAAATCTTTGTTTAAAAAAAAATAATTAAAAATAAACGCTTTATAGTTAAATATATTTAAAAAAAATATAACGCATACACTACTAAACTTTCCTCTTCATCTTTTTATCCATTAATTTCCATTTTTCTTGCATTCAAATTTGTGTGTTTTGGATTAGATTTGTTTTAGGGGGTTTTCACTTTAGTTACTTAAACTCCCTCCTTTGTGTTGTTGTTGTTGTTGTTGTGGGGAATATTATTTGACTTTTAAGAACTTTATGAATATTTCAAGATTTACTGCGCTTTGAGAAAACGAAAACTATTTGGGCCGGGCCAAGCCGTACGCTCAGCTGACACACAAAAACTGATTTGACACCTAACAGAACAACAACACAAAGTTTAAAGGGGGCGGATGGGGGGGGGTTGGATTTCAACATAGCGCTGCTGCTTTCTATTTAACATTTTCTCTTTATTTCTTAGTATGCAAATGAAGAATGTTGTTGGTTATTAAGATTGTTATTATTGCTGTGTAACTACTGTTGGGTGTTAATTCTTCTTCGTTAAAGTTGCAATACACTGTTATAAACTAGTAGAGCTTCTTCACGCGGCTCACTGTGTCTCTGTATGTGTATGTTGCCCCTTTATATATATATATATATATTTCTTTATAGGTATATGATTTTGTTTCTTATTTTTGTTTATGTTACTGCTCCAGGTATGTTTGCTTACTTTTGCCGTCGCCTGTGCCAGCACAAAGGTGGCGCCTACGGTTAGCTTGTAATTATAGGGTTGTAAATTGTGGGTGGTGGTAGGTTGGTTGGTTGGTTGATGTTGTTCTTGTTGGGTTGCGGTGTGTGGGATAGATTATGGGTGTGTTGTATGTTGGAGGTAGTATCAACAGTAGAAAACCCTGCCTTGGCTATTGTTGGCGCTGTCGCTGTTGCTGTTGCTCTTGCTGCTGCTGCTGCTGCTGTTGATGTTGCCTATGTTGTTGCTGCTGCGGCGCCGTCTCTCCTCCATCGGTAGTTGCTCCTCCTTACTGTTGTGAGCTCGCCAGCTGCTGTTGCTGCTGCTGGGCTGCGGCCGCATTTGCATTGCCAGGCGGCGGCGATGGCTGCTGCTGTTGTTGTTGTTGTTGTTGCAACTGGTGTGTGGTCGCTGCCGTCGACGCCTGCTGCTGATGGTGTGCAGGCGGCGTCGACGATGACGACGCCGATGACACAGGCTGATGATGCAATTGCGGCGGCAGCGCCTGCTGTTGCGATGGCGACTGTGGCTGCTGCTGTTGCTGCTGCTGGGACCCGCTGGTCGCAGCTCCGGCTAGGCTCTGTTGCTGTTGTTGCAATTGTTCTTTGGCAGCTTTTTGTTTTTTGGTTATTGGTGGCGGATTTGTTGATAGCATCATGGCTCGGATGCGTCGCTGTGCAGACTAAAAAATTAAGTTAGTTAGTTAACAAGAACGTAAAGGTAATCCAATTCATTTAAACACTCACCTGTACACTGTAGAATGGCCCAATGATGTGCACTGGAGTCTCCTCATCGCCCCCGGAAGGCGGTGCAAGGGCATGTTCTGGCAGCTTGATCACACTGCCCGTCACGCGCTGCAATTCGCGCACATTCTGGCCACCCTTGCCAATAATGCGGCCCACCTAGATTCGCGAATTGATTAGATAAGTTAATAATGTGTTTTAAGTAGTAGTATTGCAAAAACAAAGTTGGCTGAAATTAATCTATGTTGGTTTTTTAGATTAGTTAGTCGTGTATTAATTCCTTTTTCAAGGATTGAAAAAAAAAACTAAGTTTACCTGAGAGCTTGCCACAAGCAATTCAACCGTGAGACGGACATCGTCTGTTCCACACATAAAGCCCTCCTCGCGCATCTTCTCAAAGATCATGTACTGCGCCTTCCACTGACCCTCCGGTGTGCCAACAATCGTTACCTTGCGCTCCGTTTGTTGGTCCAGCGGCTTGTCGGCGTCGAGGGGGGCAATTTTAAGGGAGGCGTTCGAGAATCGCATTATGCTACGAATGTGCGAACCCTTGGTACCAATAATGGCGCCGACAGCATTATTCGGTATATAGAGATAGGTTGTCTCCTGCAGGTCATTGGGAAAGACCGGTGGCACCACACTTGCCGGTGTCTTGGACATGGCAAAGCTTTGACACGAGGGGAACGGCATGCTCGTATTGAAGACCATGCCGTTGCCCGGTGTCGACATCATTGCCATTGGATGGAGACCGGGAAACATGAGACTCTGCGGCGCCATCGCCTGCAGGTCATTCTCGTAGCTCTGGCGCAGTTTGGTGCTTATTTGATTCTCAGCACGCGACATGTTCTCAATTAATCCCTTCACCGTTATGATACGTTCCAAATTGAAGCTGTTGATGTCGTTGATCGAGCTGACGGTGATCTTCGTATCGGTGTCCTGCATGATCCGTTTAATGGTATTGCCCGACTTGCCAATGATCCGTCCAATTAGATTGTTGTGGGCGAGTATTTTAAGGCAAATTTCACTATTATCAAGAATACTTTACGTTATTTTCAATATCAAATTAGTTAGGAAAAAAAAAATAAATATAACTTACCCCTTATTCGTGGAGAGGGCCTCCTGCTGCATCACCTCCAGGATACGCTTGCAGGCATTGGTGCAATTCTCTGGATTGCCATAGATCGTTATCGATTTCTCCAGGGAGCCAACGTTCTCCTTGCGATGGACATCGACACGAGCACGGCTCTGTTGTGTGATCGTCCTAATGGTGCTGCCCTGGCGACCAATTATGGCACCCACCATCTCGCTCTGGACAAGTATGCGCAGCGGGAAGTCAGCCTGGCGTCCGGGACCGGGCATTCCCGGATACGGATTGCGCTGATTACGCTGGCTACGCCGCTGGTTCTTGTCCAGCTGCTCGGCATGCAACTTGCTGCCCTCGAACTCGACACCGTTTAGACCACCAGCAGCTCTGTTTTGTGGGAAGAATTGTAGATTTTTTGATTAGTCAAGTGTTTGATTTGATTTTATATACAAAATATATATATATAGATATATATATTTTCAGCTGCAATGACAGTTCTCTAGAAATGTTTAGCTAAAATCCCATCTAATTTTGCACGTTGACTCACTCCAGAAAATGTGTTTTAAAAGGCAAATGTTTTCCATTGTTCTTTCTTTTTCTTTATGATTTTTTGCAATTTTGCAATTTTCCATCATTAAACCTTTGACTAGCGATCCAATTTAAAGGTATTCATGAGAATGAAATTGAAATCACAAAGTTTATACCAAAGAAACTGAAGTTGTATGCATGTAAACAAAGGTATCATCAAGTTTCTTCTATAGATTCTATAGAATTAAGACTTTAATTTTCATATAAAAACCTTGTTTATAGTCACAACATTCCCTATTTACAGCCAATATTTGATATCAATTTGATCGACATTTTGGGGATAAACATGGACATGAGGAAGTAATTAGGTAGTAAGGTAGGTAATAAGTACGCCGCCACACTCAAACGCATCCAGAAATAAAGCCCCCACAAAACTTCACCGCCCCTCGCCCAAAATATATTTATATAAAGAGAGATAGATAAACAAGTATCTGTATCTAATGCCCAACACAAGACAACCACCACAATAGAACCTTCAATGGTTCTTCATGAAAGATTGATCTGGTGTTGGGCCTAAAAGAAATCCCCCGTAGAGGTAGGATTTGAGTTAGAAAGTAAATATAGGAAGAGAGTAGGAATAGTAGTAGTTTTTAAGTTGAGTAGATTTTTTGGGTATATACCTTTGCGCCTGCTCAGGATTTTCGAATGTTATATGTACTGTTTGAGTATTTTGATCCTTACTAGAAATAGCCTCACACTGTTTGACGATGCCATAGGGCTTCAGTAGCGGTTCGATGTCTTCGAAACGTGTTTGCATCGGTATGCCGCTTATTAAGATTTTTGATGTCGTAACACTGTGAAGAAAATAGCGTAAAAACACACAAGAACAAGAAAAACAAACAAACAAACACAAAAGAAACAAAAAATAGTAGTAGTAGTAGTAGTAGTAGTAGTAGTAAAAGTAGTAGTTGTAGTAAGTTAAGTTACAGTTGTGGTTGTAGTTATGAGATAGTAGTCCAAAAACAAGGAGGGGACGGAAGTGGGTATGAGTAGTGGTGGAGGGAAATGGAAAATGAATTAGATAAGAAAATATATATGCAAATAAAAGAAAAGTAATAGCTTGTAATAGTAGTAGTAGTAGTAGTAGTAGTAAAGCGAAAGCAGTCGTTTAAGGAAAGTGCAGTCGAGAAAAGTGTTGCCAGAATTTTAGCGAAAAAAGTTCAAAAGATCTGCAATATCAGGTCGAAACTATCATAATGCTAGGCATAGTCTAATAAATTTCATAATTTAGTATTTAATTTTTATTATTTTTTTTTAGTTCTTCCCCCATATATTCTGGCAGCACTGAGAGGAATACAGATAAAGATAAACACAAAGACAGAGCGAGATCAAGCAGCGAACTAGCATCTAAAGAGCGATTTGAGCGAGCGAGCGTAAGATACAAATATGATTTGGGTTTGGTTTACATAAATATATACATATATCTTTTAAGGAATTTGGATGGGGAGTCAAGCCAAGAGATGCAAAACACATAAAAGAGCACAGATCCCCGGACATACATAAGGTTATATGTATGACTTTTTTTGGACAGTGTATGAGAGGTGTGCAAAGATGTTTTATTCAAAATCCAAAGCAGGACACAAAGAGCAAGGTTGTGAAAGTTATGAGTGCATTGATAAAGCAGAAACGATACTCCTACCCCCCAAAATTTTACAAAAACATAAATTGAAAACTATCTTTTAAAGACTTTTTCAACCTATAAATGTAAAATCTATAAATGTAAAAATATATATTTAAGGGACATATTACTTAATACAATGTAGTTTGGTTTTTAAAACCAACAAAATTGGTAAAATATATTTCGAAACTTATTTTACCTCGATTTTCCGAAAAGACCTACATTCGAGTTTACAACATCCTGCTCCCTTAACGGGCATTGCAACAAAAAGCAGAAAGAGCAGCAAAGCAAGCTTTTTACACTGCACGTAAAAGGAGACATTATTTTAAATAAAAATATGTCAAAATTATATTGTCATATCAAATGTAGAATTTGTGTAGATTTGGCTTTGATAACATGTCAAATGATAATGAAAAATGTAAAAATGAACTATTTTTAACATAATTTTTTTCCATGTACCAATGTTTCCGTCTTTTGTTGTTGTTGATCTTGGAAGAGACCAAAAAAAAAAAGAGTAGAACAAAAATAAGAAGAAAGAAGTCGACGAAGGCGAAGGCAAACGCAAACGACGCCTGGAATGTTGCACATTTAATATCGTGTTTATTTTTCTTGGAAGTAATTTCACTCCCGTCGCCACCAAGCTAACAAACATAAAAAAAAAAAAGAGCGGCGACAACAACAACAAGCTCAGAAAGCCCCACAAAACGAAGAAGACGAGAAGAAATGAAAAAAGAGAAGACGCGTGGTGGAGTTGGCTCATTTCGTTTCTTGTTTTTTCTCTGTAATCTCTTTCGCTTTTGTGTGTTTGGCACTTTTCTTAATTAACAGTTTCCATGTTTTTTTTTTTTGTTCATTCGATTCTCACACACGTTGTTTGTGGTTTAACTCCCTTTCATGAATGATCTTTAATTAGCTGTCAAACCTCATGCGTGAATGTCAAACTATGTACAGCTGTGTTCAAAATAATAGTACTACCAGTTTATTATCGAGAAAAATAAACTGTGTTTCAACGAAATGCATCAATTTAAAAGCTTTTTGGTCGAGGGACTAAAACTGTAACAATATGAATCACGTTTTCTTATTTTTGGTGACATTTGTGAAATAAAAAATACCAGTTTTTTGGCATCTTGCTACCATCTTGTTTTCTAAAATACATAAATATCTTTTCCTCTATTAAAGTAACAAATTAGAAAACAGATACAAATGCGGGCTAGATATTTCCATGCCGATTATCTGGCTTTGATTTACAGTAAGTAACGACTTAAAGAAAGAAGAGAAGAGAGAGAGAGAGTACGAGTGAAAGATCGACGCATTCCGACATTCCAGCATTCCAATTCCATTCGCCATTCACAGACCACCCTCCGTTTATTTTTTTTTTCTGTTTTGTTGCTATTTTCTCCACTTTGCACTCCCGCTTTGACCGGTTTTTGTTTTTATTCCGTTTATGCCAACAGCACATTTCTCAGGCGATTTCTCGGGCTGTGGCGCTTTTCCAGGAATTCATGGCGAAACGTGGTAGAAATTCTGCCACCGTTTGCTATTTTTCTTTTTGTCGTCGTCGCCTTGTTGCTGAGCTGAAAAAAAAATCTTGGATTCGCTGAATATGATATCTCCATATTCCCCAATGACTGTCAAACTGTGTCGGCTAACTGTAATTGCTGAGCATGCGTCACAACATCTGCTTGTTATTTGTTGTTGTTGTGGTTCTTTTCGATGCAAATGACAAGTTGCAGTTCGTTGACGTTGCGTTATGTTGTTGTTTTGCATTGCTGTTGTTGCGTCTAGTACACCGGCTGCATCCAATGAGAGAGGAGAGCGCATCGCTTTCTCTCTCTTCTGCCAGCCCAACCTCATTCTCTCTCTTCACAATAGCCCCGCTATCTCTGTCTCGCTCGCAGTCATTAACCACTACCCAGTGCAACAATTTTACATTTTTGTTTTTGTTGTGGTTGTTTTCATTTTACTTGGTGTACTTGTATGCCGATGTTGTTGTTTTTACCTGACATGTGACCGATTCTAAGCAAATGACCTCTGGCGCAATCACACAAACACGCACGCATACATGTGTACATATGTGCTGGCTCAACACCTGGAAAAGCCTTATTGCTGTTTTTTTTGTTATCAATGCTCGACCTTAATGCGTTACAGTCGCGGGAAAAATAGTGGGAATTTTGCAACATAACAAATACTGGGTTTGAAGATAAGGATTAAAATTAAAAATAAATCATTTAAATCTATGATTTTTTCCACTAATTTTGATTATTGATTAAAATGAAATTACAGCAGTATTCCAATTTAAACCACCAATTTCGGCTGATAAGGAATGAGTAATGCTGCAATTTTATGAAGAATTAAATTTCAATTTAAAAATATATAATAAAATGCACTTTAAAGGTTAAAGCTAAGTGTAACCACTATTATTCTGAACACAACTGTAAAAAAGTACATACAAACACAAATGCAAGCATACAGCAGATGCATACACCGCCAAATCCAATCAATATACGGACATACGGCGCCCTCGCGTATTTATTTTTGGTTTTTTCTTTTCCTTCGCCTTTTATTATCTCTCTTATAAAAAAAGGCGGCGCTCACTGCACTCAAACCAACACACACACACACACACAAGCACACGACGACACACAGATGCTGCTTTATCAGTGCATTTGGTGAGTTTGTGTGTACTTGCTTTCATCCTTCCTCTTTGTTTTCCTTTCTTTCTTTTTGTATAATTTTTATGAATGAAAAAGTCGGAAATCTGCTGGGTGACTTTTTGTTTTTTTCTCTTGCATTTCTTCTTCTTCTTTGTATTGCAACTTTATTTCTGTCTCATGAATATACATATGAATACTTGGTATTTACACTGCGTTGAATGACGCATGTGCCACAAATACACAGATACATAATCTATCAATGTATGTGTGTCGTTCTATTTCCATGGCACATTCCACAAGTTGCTGACAAACAAACACACACACACAGACACACGCATGCAGCAATCGACTAAGGTTAGTTTTCCCCATTTGTTGCCCATTCCTTTATTTTCTGGTTTTGCGTTGCATTTTCATTTGCCGAGCTTATCTATGCGTTTGCCCCTTCTTCAAATGTAACTTCTTTGCAACGCTCATGGCGAAAAATATATATGTATAAGGAAAAAGTAAGAAAAGGAATTTGTTTTGTCAACATATGGAAAAGAAAAACTTGTTTTTCAGCTAACAGATGCACAAAACGAAAAGTTAATATAATATTTGATGATTTTTACTCCTCATTTTGTACCGGATGTTAACAGTTTTTCAATTTATTTGATGAATAATGAACAGTGGGTGGGGTTTTATTCTTAACAAATCACAAAAAAAAAACATTATTGATACTAAAATACATGATTTTTCCTCCGTGAAAGGGATTTTTCACTTAGAGGAAGGGAGAATAATGGAAAAGGGGAAGAAAGAACGACTGTTGCCACGAAAACAACCGCAAAAAGCTCACAACGCTTGCATTGTTGCAGGCTGGTTTGACCTAAATTGGTGTACGGCGGAGTGGGGATACCACCCATTGCCATTTCCAACCCCTACCCCTTTCCCTATTACAACCCCTCGCTAGGTGACAAAGGCAACACCCACAGTGAAGCCCATTACTTGACAGAAACTGCAACTGGCGATTCAAACAACGCGAATTTGTCACCTTCCGTTTGGCGTGGGGATTCGCTTGAATGCAATACAAGTACAGGTGCGGTCACCATAATAGTAGTTGTTTAAAATTAATTATCAGTTATTAAAAAAATAGCAATAATATTTCAAAGATTTTGTTAAAGATTAAAAAAGAGCAGAGATTTTTTTTATGAATATTCAAAGTTTGCATATTTAAGCATTCTATTAATATAAGTTTATTAATAACGATGATCAATATAAATTAAACGCTGATTACTATAAACTGATAATTTTAATAATGTAAAAATTGAATATATTAACTTTTCCTGACCCACTTTTTATATGTATTTGTATCTCATTTATTCAAAGCTTAAAAAATCACGTATTTTTGCATTTTGGTGATATTACTTGAAATGTAACTGTATATCCATTACATATGTACGTATCTATGACATATTTGTTCTGTTTTTCACTCTACGGGTGCATTTGCTTATTTTGTATTTGTTTGTTGCTTTGTTTGGGCTTTATC